TTTCTAACTTTAAATCAAGCTCTCTTTCCACTGTGACAAAGTGAGTTACTTAAGCAGACCACCATGGAATGTCTTGAATACATCAGAAGGATGCTTTGTGGGTTGGGGGAGGCTGGGCATCAGTTTGTTGTTTTTATTTTGTTATGTTTTGTTTTTGGCCTTAGAGGATGTTAGAGGAAACAGGATATACAGAAATTTAAATCATACCAAAATAAATAGAAGGAATTTACCTCCCATTTTCTGGTTTGTACACAGCCAATTAATTTAATAGGAAGCCATAAATTTTCTGCACTTTGGAAGGTTATGTTACAGTAACAGAACTATAGCGTTGATAACCTCTATGCAAAAGCTAAAATCCATTGTCTTATTTCTCTTTCTCTTTGTTACTTTACATCAAAGACTAAAAGTAGCTCTTACCATCTGTATGTTCCTTATAAAATCTGTTGTTTATATACTCTAACAAAAATATCACAAAACTGGATAGGGTTAAGTAGAGGCATCAAGTAGTGATATAACTAAATAATGACAAAATGAGTTCCTTCAAAATTAATTAAATTTCTGTTCTATCCTGCTATGCAAATCCCTGCCTTCATGGAGATTACAGTCTGCTCTTTCTAATCTATCTTCTTTGGCATTCAGTACTGTGGGAAGTCCCTAATTATGTATCCCATAGAGACATATCCCACACACTCAAACACACCCAGCTCATGTACACAGATACTTTTGTCTCTCAACTGATAAAGGAGTAGCAACCAAATGAGTTGTTCTCACCTTCCCTGTATTAGTTTTCCATGCTATATAACAAATTACCACAAATCTTTCAGCTTAAAGTAGCATGCTGTTCTTATCTCCATGGGTTAGGAGTGAGTTAGGTTAGTTTTCACGGTCAGGAGTCTGGGCACAGCTTTGCTGATTCTTCTGCTTAGGGTCTTAACATGGTGAAATCAAGGTACTGACATGTATATTTTCAACTGCAGCATGGGATCCTCTTCCCAGCTCATGTGGGTTGCTGGCAGAATTCATTTCCTTACAGTGGTAGGGCTGAAGCCCCCAGCTCTTAAAGGCTACCCCCTTAGGCAATTAACAATTTTTTTTTTTTTTTTTTTTTACTTCTTCAAGGCCAGCAGGAGAATATTTCTGCCCCTGTTGGCTAAGATGACATTTTATGTAATATAAAATAATCAAGGGAGTGACAGCCCATTACTTCCCCCATTTTCTAAGCAATTCATAGGTTCTTCCCATAATCAGTGAAAGGACTTCTACAAGTGTGTCACTCATCAGGGGCTCCTAGAGTATGTCTGCCACACCTCCTACCAAATAATAATACTTATATTCTTAGCTTGTTGAGAACTTCATCTAAGCCAGCATTATTCAAACTATTTTACATGTATTTATTCATTTAATCCTCACAAAAACTCTAGGGAGTTAAATAGTTTGTTTATTCATAGTTTGCAAATGAAACCAAACCATGGAGAGTGGATTCTTGTTAGCTAAGAATATCCATCCAAAAAACAGGAGAAAACAACAGCAGCAATGTTGATGCCACACAATCCTTCAGTTGCCACACTCTCATCATCTCCCTTCATAACAAGGTTCCTTACCTTCCTTGTCAGAGCTATGGTTGCTTTTCCTTCTGCCCTTACCCCAGGGCTGTTTCCTGCCCTTCCTTCACATATATCTCTGCTTAGAGATAAATGTCTTGGAGAGTCCTACCTCCACATGCATGCACCCAGAATTTTCCCTTCTTGTACTTCTGTTCCCTTCAGAGGCCTTAACACAATTTATAGTTATAACTTTATAAAACAGGGACCATGCCTTTCTTTGTTTATTGTTGTATTTCCAGCATCTAGCACATAAACTTTTTCAGTGTAAGAATGAACGCATGTTAACTAAAGAAAGTCATATGGCTTTTCGGGAGTCAAAGTCATTTTAGGGAGTCAAATCCTATTTTGCTGCTTACCTACTCCTATAGTCTAAAGGTTTCAACATAATTTGTATGTTGAAATCCTAACTCCCGTGGTGATATTATTAGAAGGTGGAGCTTTGGGCAGTGATTAGATCATGAGGGCAAAGTCTCCATGAATGGGATTTGTTCTCTTATAAGAAACCCCAGAAATCTAGCTAGGCCCTTCTACCATGGAGGCAACAGCAAGAAGGCATCACCTGTGAACCAAGAAATAGGTCCTCCCCAGACACTGAATCTGCTGGTACCTTAATCTCAGATTTTACAGCCTCTGGAGGAGTGAGAAATTTTTGTTGTTTATAAGCTTCCCAGTCTATAGTTTTTTGTTATTGTAGACAAAGACACCCATCTTCAGGGTTGTTGAAGGCACTCAGTTAATGATAGTCTATTATTATTGTTATTGGTTGTAGTTTTTATTGAAGAAGAAGTAGATCAAGGCCATTGTTAAAGAGGAGGAGAGGGTAAGACAGTTACCTTTGGGTGTAGATATCACTAGGCTACCAGGGGGAATTAAAGATATGCTAGATACCCAGACTTGGGGGCTCTCCCAGCATCCTTCCCTTCTCTAGACACTCCCCATGCTATTAAAATGGACATTTTATCCTTTTCTTTACCACTCTAGGTGCAAGGCACTTGGAACAGCAGAAGCTGTCTATCTGTTTCACAGTTCCTGGCACATAGTAGATGCTGTGAAATGTTTGTTAAAGAAATGAATGACTAATAGATAGTCACTTAAACACAGCTGTTCAGTGTATTACAAATGGAAACAGTGATTCACTGATTCCCACTACATTATAACATACCCTTATTTTATCTATACAAGAACACGAGCTTGAGTTTCACTAAATAAAGCATTAGTATTCGTGGTTGGGTACATTGGAAGTTTGTTCTTCCTTCTTCCTCTGCCACACACACACACACAGGGAACATTAATGAAAATGCAATTATTAAAGATTGTCTTTTAAAACATACACATTCTCATATTTGCTAAAACTTGTTCCAATTTTGAAAACGTCACTTCTCATAGAAGACCAAGCAGAATGTCCCAAGGTGTGGCCAAAGGTTCTCCACAAGTTTGTTATGAAGTAGATATACTGGGAACATCAAATACTTCTCTGATTGTGGAGAAGCTGATGAAAGCATGAACTGTCAAAGGCTTTATTTTTGCCTTTAGATATCTTTGTTTCAGTTATTTTTAATGATTTCACCACAGGCTACATCTCTTCTGAGAAGGCTGCTAAAAAATAATAAATTATAGCACTTTAATAGCAATTTCTGTCTTTGGAATTTGAAAACAGATTGATTCTTAGAAAAGGTTTCAGAATTTTAAACTGTAGAGTAACATCATTTGAAAATAATTATTGTTTTAACTAATATTGTATGAAAGCTTAAGGGAAATTCCCATGTAAGCACAGTAGTTGAAACTGAGTACCTGAAACCTTTCAAGAATCAATATTAATATTCTCCTTGTTTCATTTGCTTTTAACATTGCATACATCCCTCAAATATGTCTTTCCTGATTATATATGATGAAATCCTTAGTAGCAATTATAAGAAAACCTTTTTCTCTCATAAAAAGATAATTCTTTTCTTTCATTAATTGGGGGCCTGAGAAATTGCTTTCCTACAGTCTTATTCTAAGGAATGGCTTCCCCAACATCTGACTGAATATTTCCTCTGCTGCTTTGGAAGGTTAGGCCAGTCTTCTGGTGGCAGGGAGGATAGTTCTCATTCTCTTGGGAACAGCAAAAGGTTTCATTTAAAAGGAGACCTTTATCTTGGCCAACTGCTTGGATTGGCTAAAAATTCTATTTGCAAAGGAAAAAGAAAAAATTATACATACACACACACACACACACACACACACACACATATATATATATATATACTTGCATGAATATGCATGTATCATGTATGTGTATATTAAATACATGTATATATGTATAGATGGATATAGAGATTGTGTGTATATTTTATATATATATATACATATATATTATATATACACATATCACGAAAGCAGTAAGTAGTAGAAGGAAGAGGACAGCTCAGAAGAAGAGATTTGTATTATGACATCTACTTTAAAACTCCATCATAACAATGATGACAAAAAAGCCTTCTACATTTCCATCTAAGTGCTGCTTTGTTCGGTAATATTTTTGTTTCTAAAATTGCCTTTGTGTTCACTTTTGCTTGATTCCATGCATGTTTAAAAAAAATTAGTTGGAGGAAGGATGAAAACTATACAGGCTTGCCTTGTTTTAATTTACTTTGCTTTATTGCACTTCACAAATACTGTGGGTTTTTTTTTTTTTTTGTAAATTGAAAGTTTGTGGCAACCCTTCACCAAGCAAGTCTACGGGCACCATTCCATTTTTCCAACAGCATGTGTTCATTTTGTGGGTGTCACATTTTGGTAATTCAAACAATATTTCAAACATTTTATTATAATTATATATTTTATTATTAATATATGATAATATGTCTTATATACGGTGATATATGATCAATGATCTTTTTTGCTGTTGTAATTGTTTTGGGGTACCACAAATCATGCCCTTATAAGACAGTGAACTTAATCCATAAATGTGTTCTGATTGTTCTCTGACCAGCTGTCTCCCATATATCTCCCTTTCTTTAGGGCTCCCTATTTCTAAGACAGAGAAATATTAAAATTAGGCCAATTAATAATCCTAGAGGCTGGGAGCAGTGGCTCACACTTGTAATCCCAGCATTTTGGGAGCCTGAGGTGGGTGGATCATGAGGCCAGGAGCTTGAGACCAGCCTGTCCAATATGGTCTCTACTAAAAATAAAATAAAATAAAAAACTAGCCGTGTGTGGTGGCGCGCACTTGTAGTCCCAGCTACTTGGGAGGCTGAGGCAGGAGAATCACTCGAAACCAGGAGACGGAGGTTGCAGTGAGCCAAGATTGCACCACTGCACTCCAGCATGGGCAATAGAGGGAGACTCCATCTCAGAAAACAAGCAGAACAAAACAAAACAAAACCCTACAATGCCCTCTAAGTGTTCAAGTGAAAGGAAAAGTTGCATAAGTCTCAATTTTCAATTAAAAACTAGAAATGATTACATTTAATGAGGAAGCTATATTGAAAGCTGAGAGAGGCTAAAAGCTGGGTCTCTTGTACCAAACACTTAGCTGAGTTGTGAGTGGAAAGAAAAAGTTCTTGAAGGGAATTAAAAGTGCTACTCCACTGAACACACAAATGATGAGAAAGTGAAACAGCTTTATTGTTGATATGGAGGAAGTTTTAGTGGTCTGGATAGAAGACCAGATCAGCCACAACATTCCCTTAAGCCAAAGCCTAATGCAGAGCAACCCCCTAACTCTTATTCTGTGAAGTCTTGGAGAGGTGAAGATGTGCTAAAACGAAACTTGGAAGCTAACAGAGATTAGCTCCTGAGGTTTAAGGAAAGAAGCCATCTCTGTAACCTAAAAGTGCAAGGTGAAACAGCAGTGGCTGATGTAGAAGCTATAGCAAGTTATCCAGAAGACCTAGCTAAGATCATTGATGAAGGTGGCTATACTAAACAACAGATTTTCGGTGTAGATGAAACAGCCTTATATTGGAAAAAGATGCCATCGGGCTTGTATAGCTAGAGAGGAGAAGTCAATGCCTGACTTGAAAGGATACTCTTCTGTTAGGTGTTAATGCAGCTGGTGGCTTTAAGTGGAAGCCAGTGCTCATTTACCATTCCAAAAATCTTAATGCCCTTAAGAATTATGCTAAATCTATTCTACCTTTGCTCTGCAAATGGAACAATAAAGCCTGAATGACAGCACATCTGTTTACAGCATGGCTTACTGAATATTTTAAGTCCACTTTTGAGATTTACTGCTCAGAAAAAAATATTCTTTTCAAAATATTACTTCTCATTGACAATGCACTGGGTCACTGAAGAAGCTGATGGAGATTTAAAAAAAGATTAATGTTGTTTTTCATATTGCTAATGCAATACCTATTCTGAAGCTCATGGATGAAGGAGTAATTTTGACTTTCAAGTCTTACTGTTTAAGAAATTCATTTCCTAAGGCTATGGCTGGCATAGATAGTGATTCCTCTGATGGTTCTGGGCAAGGTGAATTGAAAGTCTTTTGGAAAGAACTCACTCTTCTGGATGCCATTAAGAACATTTGTGATTCAAGGGAGGAGGCCAAAATAGCAACATTAACAGGAGTTTGGAAGAAGTTGATTCTGATATTCATAGATGACTTTGAGAAGTTCAAGACTTCAGTGGAGGAATTCACTGGGGATGTGGTGCAAATAGTAAGAGATCTAGAATTAGAATAGAACCTGAAGATGTGACTGAATTGTTGCAATCTTATGATAAAACTTTCACAAGGAGAAGTTGCCTCTTATATGTAAAGAAAGTGATCTCTTGAGACAAAACTGACTCCTGGTTAAGATGCTGTGAACATTGTTGAAGTAAAAACAAAGGATTTCAAATATTCCATAAATTTGATTGATAAAGCAGAAGTAGGGTTTAAGAGGATTGACTCCAATTTTGAAAGGTGTTCTGCTGTGGGCAAAATGCTATCAAACAGCATCACATACTACAGATAAGTTTTTTGGGAAAAGAAGAGTCAACCAATGCAGCAAACTTTATCGTTGGCTTATTGTAAGAAATTGCCATAGTCATTACAGCCTTCGGCAGCCACCAACCACCCTGATCAGTCAGCAGCCATCAACATGCATGCAAGACCCTCCACCAGCAAAACTAGTATGACTCGAAGGCTCACATTATTGTTAGCATTTTTAAGTAATAATGTGTTTTAATTAAGGTATGTAAATTGATTTTTAGCATAATGCTATTGCACAGTTAATAGACTACAGTTTAGTGATAACTTTGATATGTACCTGGAAACCAAAAAAATGTATGTGACTTACTTTTTTGCAACATTCACTTTATTATAGTAGTTTGGAACTGAATTTGCAGTGTTTTTTCTGGTATGCCTGTAAAACATTTTTTTATTTTGCCCCCATATGACTGGACATAATCTTGATTATAGCATTATAATCACAATATCTAATTTAAAAAATTATTACATATGTTAGGACTTTTTTTGACAGTGGTTGCAAAGAATTTCCTTCAGTGGCATTGAACTTGAGTTTGTTCAAGCTTGTGGGTTAAAGCTTATTATGTCATCTTTCATAGTTTTTCACTATTTACTCTGAATACTTGATTCTTGCAATATTCTCAAAATTATCCCATGTTCAGATCTTAGAAATTTACATTTATTTGTTAAAGACGGTTATAGTCTCTAGCATGGGCAAATTCATTGTCACAGGTGTATCACATTTGGCTGTTTCTGCCAGTGATACTTTTACAACTCTTAATGCATCAATTCCCAAATTATATTCTAGGGAATAATTGTTCCATGAGATACTTATGGTTGTTCTGTGAGAGGTTTATGGGTTAAAAAGTTTGGGAAATACTGTATAATTTATTCTTCAGGATTTAAAATAAATTTTAGCATATTAGGTAGTACAGTAAATGAAACTATTTACCATATTTACTACATGCAGGCTATATTTATTGTGTGAAAGAATACATTTCCTTTAAGATGGATTTACCTATTAAAACACCTATCTTGCAAAGCACAATTTTGGGAATATTGTCTTACTGCAATTTTAGAAATAGCTTCAAAAACTTACTTGCAAAATTATCTTTAGCATATTGTTGATCTATCTCCTTTAGGGAAGCCGTCCCTCTTAACAGCCTTCTTTTATTTTTATCCCTATCTTTATGTTATTCTAAGGAATAACAGTTTCCCTTGTGGATAAAACTTGAGCATATCTATAGAGTCTCCTGGGCCATCTGAATCATACTTAGTGGTAAGGAAAAAATTAAAATTTACCTTTTAAAGAGAATCAATACCCTGGCTTTTATTCATACTGGAATATAGATGCAAGGGCACTGGGTGCTTCATCATGTAGGGTATAAGTGGCTCAATGATAACAGCATATGATAGTTTATATGCTCATTACTCTTTTTATATTGTATTAGACTCCTGATTAGTGTCTCACTGTGTAGGTTATCTTTGCTGTAAAGATCTGATTGATTTTTGTATTGGACACAACAGCTAATGTAGTGTACTGCACACACTGTTTACCTTAGTAATGCTAAAAAGGCTTGATAGATATTAGCACATCCACAATACAGATCACCTTCTGCAAATACATTCTTCCCTTGCACCTATTAATATGATGCCACTGGCCGGGCACGGTGGCTCATGCCTGTAATCCCTCACTTTCAGAGGCCAAGGCAGGTGGATCATGAGGTCAAGAGATCGGCATCATCCTGGCCAATGTAATGAAACACCATTTCTACTAAAAATCCGAAAAAAAATTACCTGGGTGTGGTGGCGTGCGCCTGTAGTCCCAGCTATTCAGGAGGCTGAGGCAGGAAAATCGCTTGAACCCAGGAGGCGGAGATTACAGTGAGCCGAGATTGCAGCACTGCACTCCAGCCTGGCCACAGAGCAAGACTCTGTCTCAAAAAAAAAAAAAAAAATATATATATATATATGATGCCACCTGCTCTGATTTTCTTCCTACCTCTGTCTGCTTTTGCTTAGTCTTCCTAACAGGATATACTCTACCTCCTCATTCCTTTTACATTAGTATTCCTCAGGACTCTGCTTGAAGCCACCTTCTCTTTTGGTAAATATTCCTTGGATGTTCTCATCCATACCCGTGTTTCCAACCGTACTTTATTTGCTAATCATTCCTATTTGAAAAAATATTTACTGTTGAGCACCTTGCCATATTCTCAGTTACTGACTAAATGTCTTTATTTGGATGCCATCAAAATACCCTTACATCAACATATCCAAAGCCTTCATTTCTTATTTCTAAATACTGTTTCCTCCTTGTGCCTTTTCCTGTCCTGATGTTTGTCACCAGTTTCTACCTAGTTAGCAAGCCTTGTCCCTGGGAATCATCTTCCACATCTCTGTCTCATCTTTCTCAGTCCCATTGCTCACTCAGTGCCATCAATTTTGGTTGGTATTTTTCTCTTGAATATTCTTCTTCCTCTCTATTTCTACTGCCTGAACAATCTTAAGACTTTTCATCATGGGTTCTGCTTACTCTTCATGCTAGTTAACAGAAATCCCTGTCTTAGTCTTGCCTTTGCCCAAGGCATCCTCTGCACTGTAGTAGGAGTAATATATCGAAGACATCTACTAGGAATTATAATCAGTATTGCAACCTGATGTAGTGCTAAACCAAACTTCCTCTGCCTATAGTCTTGTCTTTTTAAAACTAATGAGCAGTCTCCTACTTTTCATTTCTAAGTCTAAAAATTCTTGATATCATCCTTGCCTTCCCTCTTTTATACCACACATTTAATCTGCCATCATATTCTGCTGGCTTTGGGATTTAATCAGAACTGAACCATTTCACACTACCTCCAGTGCTGTTATCCTAGTCCAAGCTACTATCATTTTATTCCTGGATTATTGAAAACCTTTATACTAGTGTTCCTGGTAGATCTTTATCTGCTAAAGCTGTGCTGTCTAGTACAGTAGCCACTAGCCACCTGAGACTTTTGAGCACTAGAAATAGAGCTCACTAGAATATGAAGTGAGATGTGCTATTAAAAAGATACACTGGATATTGAAGAATTAGTATTCAAAGGGAATGTAAAATATGTCATTAACAATATAGTGAATATATGTTGTAATAATATTTTGGACAGTTTGGATTAAAGAAAACATATTATTGAAATTAATTACACATTTCTTTAACATCTAATGATGTGGGGTCAGTTGGGGGGAAATAGGGGAGGGACAGTGGGGGGTGGGAAGCTGGGGAGGGATAGCAGGGGGAGAAATGCCAGATGTAGGTGATGGGGAGGAAGGCAGCAGATCACACTGCCACGTGTGTTCCTATGCAACAATTTTGCATGTTCTTCACATGTACCCCAAAACCTAAAATGCAATAAAATAAATAAATGGGGAAAAAAAAAAGAAAAATTCTACTAATGTAGAAGAATTGAAATCACATATGTGACTCACCTTTGTATTGCTATTAGACAGCAGTACTCTAAAGATTTTTCTAAACACAGTAGTCAGAGCTATCCTTTTGAAGTGTCAGATCTTATCATTCTTCGGACCAACCCCCTCCAAAGGCTTTCCAGCCCCGTGGAGGGAGTGAGTGACAAGGCCCAGTGTGATCCTGTCCCCTTCACTCCTCTTCCTCCCACTCTCTGCTCTCTAGCTCCAAGGGCCTCCTTGCAAGCCCCACCTGAGGGCGTTTGCATTTACATTCTCTTCGCTTGGCTAACTCTTTCCCAGCTA